AAATCCATAATAAATTATCAATGATGATTTAAGATTTAACTTAGACCAAGGTTGATGAAGACTTATTAGAGGATTGATAAAATCAAAGCCTCCTAACGATAAGCTTCAAAGGTCTTGAACTATGGTTCAATAATCAATCATACTTGGATAATTTCAAGCATAAAGCTTGGGCCACTAATGATCACTTAAAGGAATCAATAAAGGTATGAGATGTAGAGGGAAAGGGGAATGAGAATTCAAATTTGATCACATCCCAAAAATTCTTTCATCTTCAAGTTCAATCACTCATAATTGATGGATTAAAGCACTAAACATATCACTAATTCAAAGCACCAAGGATGAATTAAATTATTCATTCTAAGATAGATTTGAATTAATGAATGTTTATCCAACTCCATCTACACCCTAAGTTCATTTAATTTGAAAAGAAAATGGATATTCAAAATTGCAATACAAAGCAACAATCAAAAGAAAGGAGTAGGAAAAAGAAAAAGAACCAAAACAGTGCTAAAACAAGTCAAAAAATTGCATTTTGTCTTCAGGAAATTGATTTCTCCATATAGGGGAATCGATTTCCTACATGGATTTTTCAAATTTGGCGCAAAAACAATGAGAGAAATTGATTTCTAGTATAAGGGAAATCGATTTCTGCTGCGAAAAAACCACAAATCTGCATTTTAAAAAGAAGATTATTGATCAAACATTTCATCAAACACCTTATGATCTTGGATTTAATTGAGCATGAAAGTTCCATCAAATTATGAGAAATTAGCACCAATGGAATCAAAAAAATGTAGCTCACAAAATCAAACCACAAAGATCAACATGAGAACATATTGTGAAAGATGAAAATCAAGCTTAACAATGGTGGATCCAAAAATTTACTTGTTCAAATCTGAATTATGTTGTAAATCATCTCCAAGAATCAATCTCCCAAGCTTTGATTTATAGAATTAATGAATAAAAAGTGTTTGGATGGATGTTTAGCTCAAAGATTTGTAAGCTTCAATGAAAAGCTTACTAACTTTAATGGAAAATAATCTTTGGGTGAGTTTTGGTAGATGAAGTGAGTTGAGAGAATTTTTAGCAAGGTGAATTTGGCTATCAAAAGCTTGATGAATGAATAAAATGAGGGCTCTATTTTTAGAGTTTAGGCTGGGATTATTAGTGGTTTGATTTGGAACCAAAATTAGGCTTGGTAATTGATTTTTGAGCCAAAATTAAGATCAAATGGTGCACATGTCATTAAATGAATGTGTATGATGGAATTTAATTATGACGAGGTAGGGGAATTATTTTTGGATGATCAAGAATATTCTATAAAAAGTGAAATTGGAGCCAAATGCTACAAACTTGAAATTTTGCCCTTTTTTGCCAATTTCGTCCCAGGAAATCGATTTCCACTATAGGAGAAATTGATTTCCACTGTAACCACTTGAAAGCCTGGTGTAAAATGAGTGAGGGAAATTGATTTCCACATATGGGGAAATCGATTTCTGCAAGGAAAAAGTAGCAAAAAGCTCTGTTGGTTAGATGCTTTGGCTCGATACCTACAAAACACAAATATACAAAAAAAAACAAAAAAATGTTAGTGAAATATAAAAAATGTTTGGTGATTTTGACTACATGTTAGTGAAATATAAAAAAGTTATAACACAAGTAAAAAATGTTTGGTGATCCCTCAAGAACAAACTTAAAGATAGGAGAGAGTATAAGAGATAATCAATCCACATTTGTGATCTTGATGCATTGTGATTATATGAAGTGAGATAAGGGATCTTAGGGGCAAAAATTAGGGTATAATAGTAAACATAAAATATGTTTGTACAAGATACACAATTAGAGTGCTTGGTGATCCCTCAAGGAAAAACTTAAAGAAGGGAGAGAACATAGGTGGGAGGCAACCGAAAATATTGTGATCTTGATGCATTGTGAGAATGTGGAATGATGAGGGATCTTAGGGGGAAAAATTAGGGTATAACAGTTGCTCTTATTTAAGTGTCTTCTATCCGGAGATATGAAGGTTAAAATCTTCATCTCGACACGATTAAAGATACTTAAATACAAAAACAAACCTAATTTTTTGCCTTAAGATACCATGCAATGCTTATGATTATGGGTGCTAAATGAAAACGGGAAAAGAAAGCCCACAGGGGGATATAAGACACCACTAGGGAAGAGGAAAACTCAAAAGTTTGAAAGAAGGCTCCTATCAAGGAAAAGGGGGACCTAACTCCACTGGGGATGATTGTGAAATGGGAAGGACCGAAATCACAGACAAGCTAACAAGCAAAGCAAGATTACAATGAGGAGGTTCTTAACAATGCGAGAAATGAGCCAACAAGAAAGTAATCTTCTAAGAGAGGATTACCCACTCGACTGAGGAAAGAAAGCTTAACTCCGTTGGAGAAAGAAAACTTAACTCCACTAGGGAAAAGAGAACTCAACTCTACCGAGGGAAGGCCCAAAGAGGACAAATACAAAACAAGATATCAGGTGAACCATCAACTTTTACTGCAGGTAGAGATATAAAGATACACTAATTTTTACTGAAGGTGAACTACCAACTTCCACTGAAGGTAGCGAAACAGAGGATACACCAACTTTTACTGAAGGTGAGCTACCAACTTCAACTGAAGGTAGCGAAACAGAGGATACACCAACTTTTACTGAATTTGAGCTACCAACTTCCACTAAAGATAGAGAAATAGAGGATACACCAACTTTTACTGAAGGTGAGCTACCAACTTCCACTGAAGGTAGCAAGCTTCCAAAACGGATTTCAGCTTCTTCTTTAACCAAGACATTTCACTTGGAAATGGTAATAAACAAGCTCCTTAAAAGGTAACTGCTTGTTATAAGGATTCAACAACGAACTATCTTTATCATATCAAAGAGACTAACCATCCATCAGGGTAAACAACCTCAACAACAAATTGTCTCTATCATATCGAAGAGACCAACCATCCAGAGATTTATACAGTTTTGGCCAAACATTGGTGTAGTCCTGTCCCTAAGAGGTCTTCTTGAGATTTTAATTATAAACTTTGAGCTTTTAAGTTTATGCCCATGAACCTTTAGTATAATCTGATCTTGATGTTTCAACATGCTTATCCCCAACCAATGATATATTTTACCCCAGACTAAGAAAACGAACCATCTAGAGATTTATGGTTGATCTCAATAACCAAAAAAAAGCTTTTTATGACAAAGCTTAATAAACCAAGAACAAAGATTTTATAAAAGGTTTATCCAAGAACCAAACTCGATCTATTAAGCTTTCACACGACCACTTACAAAAATTCTTCCTCACAAGCAAAGCTTCACTTACTAGCACTAAGAAAATTTTGAAGTGAAAGAAAATATTATCTATAGAGGGGGAGAGATAAATTCCAAAGAAATATGAAAAAGATAGAAAGTGGCATAGCTTGAAGGGAAGTCGAGTCTCTCTTATATAGTAGTTAGAAAAACCAAGAAAGGAAATAATTCATGTGCCGAATTGATTATCTAATCAGATGGCAAAATGCTCAAATTAATTAAACATCTCAGATATAATCGATTGTAAGACCCAAATAGGGAAGTTTTTATATAGATCCACTGCAAGACTTTAATGTGTTATCTTTATTTATTTTGTAATTGATTATCACTTTTCTAACCGATTGGTGCTCCAATCGATTGGCTGGTCAAGAAAAGTCTTGTCAATCGATTGACACATCTTTCCAACCGATTAGATAGTTAAAAAAAATTTGGACAACTTTTTAGTTACTTGTTTTTACTAGAAAATAATTTTGAAAGATGTTTTAAGTAAGTGTATGAGTTTCCTTTGTACTCTTAAGCTACTATCTTACTTTCACGTTACTCAGTACACTCTGACAGACCGACAAACAAGACATGGCGAGCTTTCAAACCGTTCACCAAAGAAGCTTCAAGAGTTTTTCTAGATAGTATTAGATTGTATAGGCACTTGATCTTGAATCCTCTTGTTGGCGCGTCATAAGATGTTTTGGTTATCTTTAGGAATGAAAAGCTATTGCAATACATTGTCGTCATCAAAACTTCTGATGATAATCTTCATTAACTGCAAGGACATAGATTCGCATTCTCTCCCATTTTGATGATGATAACGCATCTCTTAGGAGAGGTGGTAAAACAAAAATAACATATATATGTTTGGAGTGATTAAGCTCCCCTTGAGTTCAATAGAGAGTATATCATACTCCCTCTGACAGTATACTTCTCCCTCGACAGCATGAAAAGTTTCAATTTTGATCAAAAGTGAACGACATCCTCAGAGACCGGCCACAACTTCTAAGACTTCCCCGACTAATAATGGCCCGACAAGCCTTGGACATAACTGTTTTGGGTCAGCCAAATATCCAAAAGCCAAGGCCCAATCTAATGTCAATCCACTCCAAACGACCCAACATTTAAAAGCCTCCATACATGAAACACAAGGTACACTTTCAGATCTCCATCTTTTACTACACTCATCTTAAATCCTGAACTGATTTAGACATCAAAGTGTTTACCTTACAGCTACAACCCACATCGCCATATCGGAGATCAACAACACCAATTCATAATCATTCACCATCAACACACCAATTTTGATTTCAGTAAAGAAACAATTTTTTTTTAAAAAGTTTTTTAAACGATGCACTTGGTCACTCATTATCATTTGGTCATTTTTATTTTCCTATACCTTTAATTTAATGCGCAAAATAGGCCCAGTGACATTGCCAACCAATTATTAATAACCAATAATAATCGACAAAATATGAAAGTTTGGTTGAAAACCCAATAATGCATATGTAGTGTTTGCAGCACAGTCTGATTTTCTACTGCTTTGACCAAATTACTTAATCATATCCAAAGACAAACACCACCCTATAAATTAAGCTCAAAGAAACATTCCTTACTCACAGAATCACAAGTGTTAGCAAAACTTGATTTAATTTCTCACCAGTGGTGATTCTTGTTATCTAAAACTTAAAAATAAAATGGTTTTTCAATCACATAATAACATATTATGTATCTTTATTTTGTTTTCCTTCTTAGCAAATGCCTCAGCTCAGCTATCTCCAAATTTCTATGCAACAACATGTCCCAAAGCCCTCTCTATCATAAACTCTGCAGTGTTTAGCGCTGTTTCGAAAGAGCATCGCATGGGCGCTTCGTTGCTCCGTCTTCATTTCCATGATTGCTTTGTCAATGTACGTCCTTTTTTTCTTCTTGCATGAAAATGCATGCGTGAGTGTGACTTGCATAAAATTTAATTTTATAACTTGTAGGGATGTGATGCATCAGTCCTGTTGGATGACACTTCAACCTTCACCGGAGAGAAATCTGCAGGCGCGAATGCGAATTCGCTGAGAGGTTTTGATGTGATTGACAACATTAAAACACAGTTGGAGACCGCTTGTCCTGGAATTGTTTCTTGCGCAGATATCGTTGCTGCTGCTGCTCGTGATTCTGTTGTAGCAGTAAGTTTTAATAATCACATAAAATTCATCAAACTTCAAAAAATTTTAAAGCTTACTTTAACTAATTTATATTTTTTGTGTATTGAATTCATTATCTCAGTTAGGTGGACCAACATGGAGTGTTGGGTTAGGCAGAAGAGATTCAACAACTGCTAGTAAAGATACTGCCACTAGTGATATTCCATCCCCTCTGATGGATCTCAATGACCTCATAACTGCTTTTTCAAATAAGGGATTTACAGCTAAAGAAATGGTAGTCCTTTCAGGTATAACTTCATATTTCTTAATTAATGGATTAACTCGTAAACATCATCAAGATCGTCTTTGAGGATGTGTGAGACAGACTACAGCGTTAGCGTTAGGGGTAGAGCACTCTACTTTATTTATAATTTTGTTTGCATAGGTGCTCATACAACGGGACAAGCTAGGTGTGAGTTATTCAGAGGCCGGATTTACAACGAAACAATCATTGATTCAAGTTTTGCGACCTCGGTGCAATCAAACTGTCCAAGCACAGGTGGCGATAGCAACCTAACTCCACTTGATGTCACAACCAATGTGTTATTTGACAATGCTTATTTCAAGAATCTAGTCAACAAAAAAGGACTTTTACATTCTGATCAACAACTCTTCAGTGGTGGTTCTACAGACTCTCAAGTCACTACCTATAGCACAAGCTTTTCATCTTTCTATGCTGATTTTGCTACTGCTATGGTGAAAATGGGAAATCTCAGCCCTTTAACAGGAAATAATGGTCAGATTCGTACTAACTGCCACCAAGTTAACTAAATCATGGTTGTCAAGTCACAACTTTGATGCAATAATATGAAGTTCTACTTTAATATAGAAAAATATGAAGAGTAAAACATGCTTGTTCAGTTAGAGAGTCTTTTATGTAATATAAGAATATCATGATATGGTATTTTCTTGTAACATGTATGTGTCTAGTGTGGTATTGTTCTTCTATAGAACAAAATATCATGTTCCATAATAAAATAGTATGGGACATTTTCATGTTTTATTAAGTGGTTAATGATTCAATATCCATGCCAGTGTTTTACTATATTGTTTTCACTTAAATGGGAAATCAAAAGAGTCGTTTTTTTTTTTGCTTAAAAGCATAAATTCTGGTTGGCAAATTTAGGTTTTATTGCGTATAACTAATTTTCCCTCTAAAATTTATTAATAACTGAAGTTCAGAATTGAAATTTTTGCTTTAAAACTTTAATCTTTTTAAAAAATTGTTATTCAAGTTATTAAATTAAAACAAGTTATTTTATATTCAACTTACTTTTAACTAAAATAAATTAATTTAAAATAGTTAGCATGCACTAATTAAGATAACACTAGATATATTTAAACTTCTACAATAGTGATGGAAAATCATTGCACCTTGAAGAGTAGTCCAAAGGATTAATAAAAATTCAGCATTTTTACCCTCAATTATCACTTTCTTTTTTAACATTTGACATCATAAGTTTGGCTCGATCCATCAAAAACTCAGTGTGAGAAAATATGCTTTATGTTTCTAATAAACAAATCCCCGCAAATCTCAAAATTCTCAATGCAAAGAATTACGACAAGTGGTGAAAATAAATGAAAGTGTTGTCTGACTATCAAGATGTTCTTGAAGTTCTAAATCATGTGTAGGATAGTTCTTCTCATGAGTCCTCAACTGCCTTGACGCATAAGCAACTACATTTTCATTTTGCATAAGCACACCTCCTAAGCCCATCTTAGAAGTATCACAGTATACCACAAAAATTTCTCCTAGATTAGGTAATGTCAAAATCGGAGTCGACATCAATCTCTTCTTCAATTCCTTAAAACTTTCTTCACACTGAACATCTCATACAAAAGCTCTACCCTTACAAGTCAACTTAGTCAACGGAAGTGTCAACTTAGAAAAACCTTCGATAAACCTTCTATAATAATCATCTAATCCCAAAAAGCTTCTAATCTCGATAACCGACTTTGGAGTTTCTCACTGCAACACATCATCTACCTTAGATGGATCTACAACAATGTCACTACCTGAGATCACATGACCAAGAAAACTAACATCATTTAATCAAAATTCACACTTAGACAGCTTTGCATACAACTTCTTCTCCTTCAACCCTTGCAATACTATTCTTAAGTGTTCTGCATGCTCTTCTTTCGATTTAAAGTAAATCAAAATATCATCAATGAACGCCACTACAAACCGATCCAAATAAGTATGAAAGATACGGTTCATGTATTCCATGAATACTCCCGACGCATTAGTAACACCGAAAGGCATCACCGAATACTCGTAATGTCCATAACACGTTCTCAAAGCAATCATATGGACATCTTCATCCTTCACTATAATCTGATGATAACCTGGCCTCAAATCCATCTTGCTAAACACACGAGCATCCACCAATTGATCCATCAAGTCATCTATTCTCGGAAGTGGATACTTGTTCTTAATCGTCACTTTATTCAATTGCTTATAATAAACACAGAGCCTCATACTTCCATCTTTCTTCTTTACTAGTAACACTGGAGCTCCCCATGGTGATACACTTGATCTCACAAATTTATTTTCAAGTAACTCTTTCAATTGCTTCTTTAGTTCTGACAATTCAGATGCAGACATCATGTACGGTGCCATAGAAACAGGTCTGGTTCCAGATACAAGATCAATAGAAAATTCGACTTTTCTCTATGGTGGTACATCAGGAATTTCATCAGGGAAAACTTCAGGAAATTCATGCACCACTTGTAATTCCTTAATTATACCTTGATTCTCGACAAATAGCATCGCCATCAACAAGAACATTTGAGCCTCTTCTTGCGTCAACTGCCGCAACTGTCTAGCAGACAACAGACCAGCTTCCTCTTCTTAAGGAGTAGAAAACCTCACCGACTTATTATAACAGTTAATATGAACATAGTTATGCTCTAACCAGTTCATACCTAGGATCACATCCAACCCACTTAAAGGCAAACAAACCAAATTAACAGCAAAGTCTCTGTCGAAGATCGACAATGGACACTTAAAACACACAGAAGAAGTAGTCACTGATCCCTTAGCTGGAGTATCGACGACCATCTCTCCATTCAAAGAAGACAATATAAGACCCAATCTTTCAACACAAACAACAACAATAAATAAATGGGTAGAACCGATATCAATAATAGTAATTAAAGGAGTACTATTAATGAAACATGTACCTCTGATGAGTCTGTCCTCATTAGTTGTCTGATTCTCAACCAACGCGAACACTTTACCACTGGTTTGTGCCTTCTTCGGCTTCTGACACTGACTACCAACGTGTCCTTCTCCACCACAATTGAAACAAATCATATCTTTATGCTTGCATTCAGATACAACATGTCCAGTCTTACCACAACGGAAACACCTCTTTACCTCAGCAGTACACGCATTGCTTTTATGCCCAGGTTTTCCATATTTGAAACAAACCACACAAGCAGGAGCATCTCCCCCCTAGTCCTCTGGCCCTGAGAAACTTTCTATTTACCTTTATTAGTTGGGGCATCATACGGCTTACCAGGATCCTGTTGGTGCTTACCCCTCTTCTCATTGATAATCTTATAGGGAGTATTATTATCCTCTTCATATATCCTGTAACTATCAACCAAATCAGCAAAGACACAAATCTTCTGGTATCCAACCTCCTTCTTGATCTCTGGGCGCAACCCGTTCTCAAACTTGATGCACTTTGAAAACTCAGCATTAGCCTCACTATAGTGCGGATAAAACTTAGCCAATTCCGCAAACTTTGCAGCATACTCAACAACTGACATACTCCCTTGCTTCAGCTTAATAAATTTAATTTCCTTCTTGCCACGAACATTTCCAGGGAAATAATTTCTCATAAATTCCCTACGGAACATAGCCCAAGTGACATTTTCACCTGCAGCTTCCAACCTCTGACGCGTCTCTAGCCACCAGTCATTAGCTTCAACTGCTAGCATATGAGTTCCATATCGAACCTTCTGCGTTGGAGTGCAGTCCATCACACGGAAGATTCTCTCAATCTCTTTCAACCAATCCAACGGTCCGTCAGGATCATACTTACCCTTGAAGGTAGGCGGATTCACCCTCTAGAAGGTCGCCAAACTACGAGATCTAGTGTTCGGATGATTCTCCATAACATGCGCCATTGCCTCTAAAGCAGCAACAAGTGCAGCATCATTCCTTCCAGCCATCTTAACTTATCACTACAACATAAACAAGGATTAGAACTCAAGGTGACAATACTCGATTGTTAGACGAAACTACGACTCGACAACTTGGTCAGACGGACCGACTTGCACTGATACCAACTTTGTAACACCCCAATTCTACCCGACAATTATTATAAAGATCAAAGTTACAAAATTCCAACTACCGAATCAGGATGCCACAATTTAAACTTAAAATAAAGGCATTCATTACAGATATATAACACATTAAACTTGGATGAACCAACCAAAACATAAATTAATCTTTCAAAATCAACAACTTTCATAACTATGCAGCGGAATCAAATATTCAACTTAAAGGAATATATCATCTTCATCCAACTGAAACAATTTCAAATAATCATCATTTAGCGAACAACAACTTAAATTTAAATCAACTGAAATAATAACAATAATAAAACAACAAGTGTTCACCCCCCCCCTGATTGTTACGTATCAGAGAAATGACACTGACACGAACTACTGAAGGTAAACCGCCTTCACTCTAGATTACTTGCACGTTACCAACATCGGGTAACATTCAAACAGAAGGGGTGAGATATCTAACAATATAATCTGATGTAAGATAAATATCACATTAGAATTAGTCCATGCAAATCACCACTTCCCAACTTAGAACAACATCAACACAACAGAACACAACGAAACATAATAATTAATTCATCTATATATCTCATCCCCATTCTTTTTTGGTTTTGTTTTTGTATGAGTTGAACTTAATTGAGTGGATTGTAGATCGAGAAAGGATAAATGAATAGGAGGAAATTGAATCTAAATTCATAGTCAACATCGAACGAACAAACGAGGTATGCAGTTGTGTTCAGAAGCAAGATATCTTTCTTTGAAGAATGTCAGTCGTAATCTCTTCCCTCACATGAAAGAACGGGTATTGTTTCCTTCTTTCATTTTTTATTTTTTATTTTTTGGCTTTTATATATTTATAAAAACCGAAGATGAATGCGGTTTCAGAATCCCCTCTCTTTGTCTGATAAACATATTATTAATTATCTCTCTTTCTTAAAAATAAGGAAGAACATGAAGAATGATTTTTGGGTTTAAAAAATGATAAAGATCTCCCTTCTCTATTTTTTGGTAAGGTTTAGTGTGTTAATTACATTCCTTTTTCTTTCATTCATGTTTTCTTCTTTCATTCCTTTTGTTATCAAGCATTAGGAAAACCAATTTGGAATTAGACCAATTATTCTTAATTATTTGCAACAAAAAAAATCATAATTAAATGTTCAGAAACATCAAAACCTAATAATAGGATTGACGATTTCCGTTTAGGGTTCTGATCACTACTTTCGCAATCGCGGCTTAGCTAATATTTAGCTGGCATGGTTTAAACTTATAATTCTTGGATCAGGTACCAAGTTGAGTAAATTCTAGCTAGGGTTTTGCTCTGTGGGACCATGGGTCGGGGTCAAGGGAGGCTGAATAAGAAGGTGCCATTGTCGTTGTTCCGTGCTACAATCTTAAAGAAGATTACAAGGAAGCAAGATTTAGAGGGAGAGAACATGACTGAGAATGAAACAGGTTCAATCAAGAGA